GTCGTAGGCCATTGATCCACCGAAGATCATGAGGGCGCCGTTCGGCGTCGTCTTTTTCCTTGGCGTTGTCTGTAGTGGGGGGCGGATCCTTCCCCTTCTCCCCTTTGTTGGAGCCTCCAGACAAGAATTTGCGCATGAGGCCACAATCCTTGTACAGATGCTTGACCGGGAAAGCATGGTTTGGGCATGGCCCCTCGAGCATTTTTTCGAAGTGGTTCGGAGTGCCCTCCACGGGCTTCCGGCCACCCTTGCGGTCGGCAGCGGCTACGAGCGAGTCCTCGCGCCGCTGCTTTTTGTTCTTCCTTTTGGTGGAGCGGTTGGATGCGCCTTCGCCGGCGCCCTCGTCCTGCCTTGCCTTGCCGTTGGAACGGTCGAAGATTGCTCTGACCGCCTCTTCTCCTGAGGCGTGGCTGGTGGCAATGTCCAGTAGCTCCTTGGTGATCAGTGGGCCCTTGCGTCCCAGCTTATGAACCAAAGACTCGCATGTGGTCCCAGATAGGAAGGCTCCTATCACGTCGGCGTCGGCGACGTTAGGGAGCTCGTTGCACTGCCGGGAGAAGCGCCGGATGTACCCGTGGAGGGTTTCATCGGCCTTCTGGCGGCAATTCTTGAGGTCCCATGGGTTCCTAGGGTGCTTGTATGTGCCTTGGAAGTTCCCCACGAAGATTTCCCTCGGATCCGCCCAACTCTGGATGGCGTTGGACGGCAGGTGCAACAACCATGCTTGTGCCGAATCGGCCAGGAACAGTGGGAGGTTGCGAATAATGAAATCGTCATCTTTCACGCCACCGGCTTGACAGGCAAGCCGATAGTCTTCGAGCCAAAGCCCGGGGTTTGTCTCCCCAGAACATTTAGGGATGTTGGTAGTCGGTCGGTACCTTGGTGGGAAAGCAGCGTTGAGGATGTGCCTGCCGAAGGCCTGAGGGCCTAGCAGGCCAGGGCTCGGGCTCCGGTGCTCGCCGCTGTCGTAGCGTCCACCGCGCCGAGGGTGGTAGCCGTGTTTGACACCTTCTCTTGAGTCGTTGTAGGCGCGTCTGCGGGCGTCGATGGTGCTGCGTGCGTCACGGTTGCGGCCAAGACGTTGATGCACCAGGACAGCGGTGTGCTGCCTACCACCTGGTGGTGTCTGGTGAACCAATGCGTCCTTAGCGGGGTGCACCGAGGGCATATGCTGACTGGTGTCGAGCTCGCATCGCCGAGACAACGAGCTCTCCGCCTGCTGCGCCGCCGCACGTTTGAGCAACGTGCGATTTTCTCGGTGGGCCCAGCGATCCTCGGGCGTCGCGGCCTCTGTGAGGCCATGGAGTAAGGCCGTTGCGGTGGCGATGTTCTGGCTCGCCCGAGTGAAATGAGGAATGGCTCCATCATCGGTGATGATCCTCTAGTGTACATTATGGGCCGTGGCGCGTGCGCGCCCACCGCTTCCGCGGCGTTCGATCTCGCGATTGATCTCCGCATACTCCCGCACGAGCCCTTGTCCGGCCTCATCGATCTCCAGCTTCTAGGCTCTCAGCTGCTCCATCCTCACGCGAGATGGGGCCACTGCCTCCCGTCCGGTCCTGCCATCAGGGTTGCCTATCGGGGTAGCCTCCTCCCCGGAGACGCTTTCGACGCGCCCCTCGGGGGTTTCCGCCATGAAGCATTCCCGGGAAGGGTGATGGCTCCCCCTGCTAGAGTCAGAGCTAGAGGATGATCCCGGCTCCTCTGTGAGGAGTTTGTGGAGAGACTCTGTGTTGTGTTCGATCACCCCCACGAAATCGCTGTCCGCGGGTGGCTGAACCATGCGTTGTGCCACAAGGCGGCCAACGGTCGCCGTGGCGTTGCGAAGACCGAACGGAAACGCTATCGGGGCGCTCCGTATGTGGCGTTTCGGAGAGAGGAGTCCTTCTCTGGAAGGCCGCGCCATGTCATTGTCGTTGGAAAGGGCGAGGCGACACTGGTCCTCCCTAGACTGCTGGAGCCCAAGGGAGGCGCCGAGCTGGCGCCCAAGCCTCTTGTCGTCGAGGCCAATGGGGGAGAGAGATTGGATGGCAGCGTGAGCCCGTACCAACTCTCCTCCCACCATGATGATGAAATCTAGGTTCCCAAAGCGCACGTGTGCGCCTGGGACCCAGCTGATGTCGTGGTTAGCCATCCGTGGCCTGGTTTGGAACACGCAAAGTCCCCTGCCTGGCGCGCCAACTGTCGGTGTTTCGAACAAACACCGGCTAGTAAATTTATATTTATGCGCGTTAGGTCCGGATAGTGCGCTAAAAGACACAAGGTTTATATTGGTTCGGGCTGAATGTCTCTACGTCTAGTCTATTGCTGCTCGTGTTATTAGCACTGAAAATGATTCGTAGTAGGGGGTATAAACGGTCGAGAGAGGGACTGGTCCCAGGTCTCTAATGGAAGGGTCGAAAGGATGCCAAGAGCCTGGTGGCGGCTTGGATGTGTGCGTGATGTGTCGCGTGTGTGTGGAACCGAACCCTCTATGAGTTCATCTCTGTGTGAGTTGGTCCGTCCCTCTAGCAGGGCGTCCTACCCTCCCTTTTATAGACCAGGGGGCAGGGTTTACATGTCGGAGAAAGGAGAAAAAACCAGAGGCCAAGAAGCCCCTCCGAAGGCGCTGGGTCTTCCTTTTCCTTTGAGCCAGCCTCCCTAACACAGCCAGACGATGTCAGAGATGGCACGTTCGCCGGGCGTGCGTGCGTTAATGATGCCATGCTTTGCAAGTGATCATGTCCCGTCCCGCCCCCGCGGGCGGCGTGTCGGACAGGGGTGTTGATCTGCGATCCTGTGGGGAGCGGACGGCACGGTGACTGCTCGTTCGCCACTGTAGAGGACGGGAGTCCCCCCTTGGAACGTAGTGGTTGTCGTATGTCTGTGTCGGGTTCTTCGCCCGAGGGCTGAAGGCGGCGCCTACAACACTGTAGGGCGAAGAGCACGTGCCTGCAACACTATTCAGGCTCTGCCACGCCTAGAAGGGTCTAAGCGCCCATCCCATCACGCCCTGACGGTACTTTCCTACAGGGGCGTAGGGCATGGTCCTCGATGTCGCGGTTGACCCGAATGTCTTGTCTTACCCTGTGCCTATCATCATGAAGGAGCGGGGTGCGGTTGTCAGGCAAGGCGGAGCCAGCCTTTGGACATCGGGCGAGGCGGGGCCTGCCCTCGGGCGTCAAGCGAGGCGGAGCCTAGCCTTTATCCGTCAGGCGAGGCGGAGCCCAGCCCTCGGGGTTGGGCGAGGCAGAGTCTATACCTCGAGGGTCGGGTGAGGCGGAGTCTGGACTTTAGCCGTCGGGTAAGGGGGAGCCTAGCCCTCGGGGGTCGGGCGAGGTGGAACCGATCTTCCATCGTTCGGGCAAGGCGGAACCGATCTTCCGTCGTTCGGAAGAATCAGCGTCCGGTGATTACTAGTACCACCTCGTTGGGTATCCCGGTATTAGGTCCCCGACACCGGTATTGCGACACAAGAAAATGCAGAATATTTTAACTGACATGTAGTGCAGAATATTTAGTTGAATCACATATGAGATTTTCAGCAATGCTACTTCATTGTATATAGATGGCAGACTGTCAGTTCAGCAAATGAGTGAAAAATGCGGGTACCGAATAAAATTCATTGTCTTTTGTTCAAGTTCAGTGTTCTAACACCTCTAGAAGGGTAAATAAATTGCCTAAAACAATCTAAAACATTTCTCCTCCATGTAAGGGTAAATAAATCACCTGAAAATCTAAATTATTAAGATCTAAAACATTTTCTCCTCCATTGCTGGGTACCTCGTGCTACGCCGACATGGGGGGCCTGAGCAGGGAGGAGGGCCTCGCGCGGTGCCGCCAACGCCATGGATCTGTGCGGGGAGGAGAGGCTCAAGCAGCACCGCCACGCCATGGCCCTGCGCTGGGAGGGGTTCACCTCGTTGGATCTTGTGGATGCGACGGCGGTGGCGACCTTGCCTGCGTTGGGCCGACCTCCACAACCGGCATCTCATGCACCGCCATGGCCCTGAGTGGGAAGGAAAGGGAGAAGCTGTGAGATAGAAAGAGAGGGGACCTCGCCTCACTGTAACCCAGGGACGCACGGTGATGGCGTGCTCGCCTGCGCCGGGCCATGCTCCGCCGGCCGCCGCCATCTGCCGAGAGGAGAGAGAAGAGAGAAGAAATTAGAGGATGGGGGTTGTGGCCGTGCGGGTGATAGGATAAGGTTGGGTGAAATTTTTTTAGCTCGCACGCCTGTCGCTTCCCTTCGGCGCCATGTTTTTCCCCATCCCTCTCTTACGTGTGGGCCATGCTGAGGACGGGAGCGCGCGAGTCTTTAGTTTTCTGAGTTTGCCGAGCGTCCTAGATCTGACACTCGGCAAACAAAAGAGTTTGCTGAGTGTTAGATATTAGACACTCGGTAAAGGAGTTTTTTATTTTTTATTTATTTTTCTCTTTTTATGGAGGGGCACGTGACGGTGACGCGATGTTTGCTGTAATTTGCCGAATGTTTTTCCTATATTTGCCGAGTGCCAGAGTTTACCGAGTGTTTTTCAGTAGAATTGTCGAGTGTTTTTAGCAAGGCACTCGACAAACAAAGAGTTTGCCGAGTGTCAGAATCTTTACCGAGTGTTTTTTATTTGGCACTCGGCAAAGAGATGGTTTACCGAATGTCCGATAAAATACACTTGACAAAGAATATAACACTCGGCAAAACCTTCGATTCCGGTAATGAACCGCGTGCGTTTGCACGTTCAATGATAATATGGAGTCTAATTTCAATGCGTATTAGAATGGATGATCTAACCGTAATATAAAATTTATGAGCCGTAAATCATTTAGGTGACCACACAATGAACTGTACGTTTATTTGCATATTTACTTTATTTTAAATATAAGAAAGCAGAGTAATTTTGGGAAGTACGGAAATTATTTCATTTGTGTAATCAGAACCACTTATTGCAACAAAGCAGCACCGGCGTGGGGAATTTTAACTAGAAACTCGATCTGCCAATGGGATCCATCGTCATCCATGCTTGTCACTGCTTGCTCCCGACCAGCAGCAGGTCGTTCACCACGCATTCAACATTACGCCACGACGCGCCGCCTTTCCTGGCCGCGGCCTCCGCCGCCGCCTTCCACTCCGCCGCCTTCGCTCGCTTCTCCTTCCCCAGATCCCCGGCCATCATCTCCCTCACCAGACGGGCCACCGCGCCGCTCTCCACTTCCCTGGGCAGCTGCGCGCCGTTGCCCCAGACCTCGCACACCTGCCTGCAGTTGGTGGTCTGCTCCGCGTGGCAGGGCCAGGCGAGCACCGGCTGCCCGGCCGCCGTGGCCTCCAGCAGGGAGTTCCACCCGCAGTGCGAGACGAACAGCCCCACGGCGGCGTGCTTGAGCACTGCCGCCTGCGGGCACCACGGCACGACGAGGCCCCCGCCGCGCGCCACCTCGTCCAGTAGGGCCTCCGGCAACACCACCTCGCCGCCGTCCACCACGTCGGGGCGCTTCACCCACAGGAACGGGGAGCCGCAGCGCGCTAGGCCCAGCGCGAACTCCCGCGCCTGCGCGGCCGTCATGACGTGCATGCTGCCGAAGTTGACGTAAACCACGGAGCCGGCCGGCTTCCCGTCAAGCCACGACAGGCACCGCGTGTCCTCCTGCCAGATGCTGATGTCCATGCCGGCGAGGCCGGAGTCGGAGTCGGAGGACGCGATGACCTCGGCGAGCGGGCCCACGGTGTAGATCGGCGGGAAGAAGGCGGCGAGCGCGTCCACCACGTCCTTCTCGAGCTCGTACAGGGTGTTGAGGATGAGGGCCTTGGAGCCGGCGGCGCTCTCCATCTGCTGGAGCGTGGCGGACACCATGACGTCGTCGGGGTCCGTGGTGCGGCAGAACGCCGGCATGTCCCTGAGCCGCATGTGGCTCATCCCCGGCACCCACTCCAGCGGCGTGTCCAGGTACCCGTCGTCGGTCAGGAGGCTCGCGTCTTTGAAAGGGACGAGGCCTCGTTTGACGAGCTCGCCGTACTGCAAGTAGCCCATGAGTCCGCATGCGGAGGCCGTGAAAAACTGCACCTCGGGGATGCGGGCCTCCCTGGCGGCGGCCGCCGCGAAGGTCATGACGACGTCGCCCACGACGCAAGTGACGGGCGGCGCGCCTTGCTCCTCCGCCTCGTGCCCCAGGCGCCGCAGCAGCGCGCGGAACGGGTCGAGGCAGTTGTGGCGCAGGAAGTCGACGAGGCCCGCCACGTCGTTCTGCGGCACGGAGAGGGAGAGGCCGTCGTCGATGACCTCGACGCGGAACCTCTCGGAGGAGGTGGCGGCGGGCCTGACGGCGGCCTCGCCCTTGGCGCGCAGGAGGCGGCGATAGTTGTACTGGGTGTAGACGAAGGTGACGCGCGCGCCCCGGGCGTGGAGGAGGCGCGCCAGCTGCATCAGCGGCGCGACGTGACCTTGCCCCGGGAACGGGACCAGCACCACGTGCGGCGTCGGCGGAGGCGGCGCGTTGCTACCCATGGCGCGCGTTCAATCCCCGACCCCGAGAGGCGCGCGAGCTGAGCTTGGAGCGGTGGTGGTGCGTGTGCGTGCTCGATCGATCGCGTGGGCATCATTTGTAGGGCAGCGCGCTGCTGAGCAGAGCAGGCAGTGCTGTGATTTTTGTCGTCAGGTCATGTGCGGTGCGGGTGGTGGTGCGCGCGGCAACCAACCACGGCGCGGCGCGGCGCCGTGCACGTGGATGGATCGGCATCTAGTAGCTAGCGTGCATCATGTGTGCCTCTGCGAGGTGGATCAGGGTGAGGAGGGATCGGAGACAGCTCCACTGCACCAACCACCCAACAACGTGTTGCGAATATTGCGATTGCGATTGGGTAGGTGGCCATCCGCTGCCATATCCCGGAAATCTCGCTCGAGCTCGCTGGCCACGCCCTCCCGCGTCCCTGTGACGCGGGCGGCGCCGGCGGGATGCATACCCACGTGCTCTCCAGACACTCTTTCTGCTTCTTGCTCAGCGACACCTGAGCGTGAGCAGTAGTGCAGTACCCCGCCGATCCGATTCGTTGGCATGCGTGGCCGGCCCGGCCGACTGGATTGACAGAAAGAGACGGCTGGTGCATTGCATGCGGATCCGGGCCGGCTCCTAGAGAAGAGTGCGAATCCCGTCTACACCTCTACCTACACCGCATAGACTTGAGTAGGTAGCTGCATAGTGTGTCAAGATCCTATGTTTGCATCTAACTTACCCGTATATGCCTTTATGAAATATAACGTAAAGTTATAATTAGTTTATTTTTTAAATTGACTAACTCTACTTTTATAAAACATAATTTCAAATATAATCCTCAAATTTACATGTAAATAATAATATAAGTTATTATAGAAAATAATTATAAAACATAAACTAAAATATGCATGTCTACTTGCAGCTCCTTAATTATTGGTTTTTTTTTGCGTCTACTTCAACAGGAGCCATCAAATATATTTGAGTTAGGCATGATCTTGATTTGACAAGGGTGTGAGGAAGAAGGGAGGCTGCAGATACCTAGGGGCTTAGGCATATATACACTAACGAATAGAGATTGCGTCACTAGTAAAAAAATAATTTTCATGGGCACATCCATTTTTTCAGACGTGGTTCTATTTCTAGCGTCTCTATATAGAGAGGAGAACCCTAGCTGCTTGTTAACTGTATTTTAAAATGTATTTCTAAAGGCGGTGCCGCGAGATAACAGCCTGTCATCGTTAGTCTATTTCTTCACACATTCTCACGCGCAGTATTTAATCCTAAAATGACACTATAGAGAAGGTGTTGAGCGTGATTTCTCTCTAGAACATCTAATGGTATGAAATTCGGCACATACATACATACATATTTCCCCCTCAAATTTCAGTCAAGATACGTACATATATTCCCCCCCTCAAGCAAAGCTCCAATTATTATTGTCCATAATAATAATAAACAAAACAAAAAACCATGTACGAGTGAATAGCCAGATAGATACACTCAAGCAAAGCTCCAATGCAATTATTATTGTCGATAATAATAATAATAATTTATTTTAACTCGGTACAAAGCTGAACGCTGTCGCCACTTACGTACGGTCGGTGTGCAGAATACGCACAACCACAAAATCAAGCGCGGAAAAACTTATTGCATCCAGTACACGTGAGAGAGCCTGATCGATGATACATGCAATGCAAGTGATCACGCCAGGCTCGCTCGTCTTATATGCATACAATATAATGACTGGCCGGGCGATTAATCAGACGGAGATGGCCGGGTAGAGGTGCGCCGGCAGCCTCGGCTCGGCGTGCAGCACCAATGTGGTGGCCATGAAGGTGTCGCTCTTGGACTCGCTGAGGTCCACGGCCTCCACCCCGGCCGGCTTGCTCCAGGTGAACCCCTGCAGGAGCCTTCCGAATAGCATGATGCTCATAGCGGTGCCGAGCGACGCCGCGATGCAGCCGCGGCGGCCGGTGCTGAAGGAGATGAACCGCAGGTCATTCTCGGTGAGTGCGACGTCGGACGCGGTGGCGAGGTGGCGGTCCGGGTAGAAGCGCAGGGGCTCGTCCCACACGCGCGGGTTGCGGCCCAGCCCCGTGCGGCTCAGGATCACGTGGCTGCCCTTGGGGACGCGGTAGCCGGCGATGGTGGTGTCGGCGAGCGCGACGTGCGGGACGTTGAAGGGCGCCACCGGATGGAGTCGGAAGGCCTCCCGGATGCAGGCCTTCACGTAGTTGAGCTTCGGGATGTCCGACTCCTGCACTAGCCTTTCCCGGCCGACGACGCGGTCGAGCTCCTCCATCGCCTTCGCCATCACCTCCGGGTTGTTCACCATCTCTGCCAGCGCCCACTCCACGGCGTTCGACGGGTTGTCCACCGCCGCGAACGTGATGTCCTGCGTGCGTACACATGCGATATGAGTTCATTATATATATTTCATGTAGATGCATGCATGCCATGTCAATAAACAAGATGCATGCATGTACTTTACCTGTGACTGCGCTTTGACCTCCTCGATGGTCAGTAGCGGGTTGCCCTGGGCGTCCTTGAGCGTGATAAGCACATCCAGGAAGTCCTCCATCTCCTGCCGCTCGCCGTTCTTCCACTGCCTCCACCGGTCGTCGATGACCGTGTCGTGGAGCCTGTTCACTGCCTCGTTCGCCTCCTTGACGATCTTCTCGTGGCCGTCGAGGTCGAAGCCCCGCAGCCAGGGGAGGTAGTCGGAGACGCAGAAGGCGTAGAGGAGGCCGAGGGAGGTGAACACGGCGTCCATGTGCAGCACCTCCATCGGCCCAGGCCCGCCGTCAGGCTGGGGCTCGCCGAAGTAGCGCCTGTTGAACATGAGGCGGCGGATGACGTTGCCACAGTAGTGACGAGCAACGTGCCTGACGTCGACGACGTCGTCGCCGGCGGCTCTGGTGGCGAGGTTGTAGACGTAGCGGGTGAGAGTGTCGGCCTCGTCGGCGCGCTTGTCGTGGAGCCACGCGTGGCGAGACGGGCAGATGATCTCGGAGGTGAGGACGCGACGCATCTTCTTCCACTGGTTGCCGTAGGGCGAGAGCACGGCGTTCCGGTAGCCGCCGCTGAACGTCTCGGACGCGAAAGTGAGCGGGCGGGATATGAAGTTTGCGTCCTGCTTCCGGAGCACCTCCCGCGCGATCTCCGGGCAGGTGATGGACACGACGTGGATGCCGCCGAGCTTGACGCAAGCGATGTCCGTGCCCATCTCGCTCATCATCTGATGGATCCAGCGGAATGCCGGCTTGTTCAGCAGCATCTCCGGCAGGTTGCCGACGACGGGCCACGGCACGGGCCCGGGCGGGAGCGGCAGGTTGCCAACGCCCGGGGAGGCGCACGTTGCGCTGCTGCACTTAGTGGTGGTTTTGCGTGGCCGGCTCAGGGCTCGGGCCAGGTACGAGAGCGTCACTACGAATAGCAGCAGTTTGAGTATCGCAGAGGAGGACAGCAAGGGGGCAGCCAGCACCGTGGCGGCGGCTGCCTCCACCTCCATTGTCGCCATTGTCAAATTAGCAAACACGGAGACGGTGCGTGCAGTGTGTGTGGGAGCGAGCAGCTAGCAGCGACCGTGATGATCGATCTGAGTTCTCTTTGGGTAGCTGCACTGCTAGCAGCTAGCTAGGCCAAAGAGAGAGCTCACTGATCGATCACCCGATGAGCTAGCTAGGCTCCTGCTTGAGGCAGAACAGGGCAGCCCGTGATGGGTATTTATGGTGCTGGATCGGCACCAACCACGCGTGCATGCACAGTGCCACAGCTAACTGTGTGCAGCGCATCGACCATGCAGCATGCACATGTGGGAGCGCAGAATGAGCACATCATGCAGCCAACTTGTGCGCTAGCATGAGAGTGGAGAGGGGACAAATTCGAACCGTTTGCGTTTTCTATATTACAATATTATACCATTCTTTAGGGTTATTTGATCCATGTCATTACAATTTTCACATTTCTGAAATATGCCATCACTATTCACCTATTTGAAAACTTGCCATTACAATTGTTCCTATACATGTTCCATACCATTTTCTACCCTTAAAACGAGATCGGACCCACTTACAGATCGTCGTATTTTCGTATCACCCAAAATACCATGCCGAGCGAGCGAGCAGCTGTTGCCGGCGCGTGGGTGCATGGGCGAGTCACCACCGCCGTGCAGGCGAGCCATCGCCGTCGCGTGGGCAAGCCGTCGCTACTGCGCGGGTGAGCCAGTGCCACTGGGCAAGCGCGAGGGCGAGCCGCCACCACACGGGCACCACAACTGCCGCCGCCAAGGATTGGACCTACCGCACTCCCTCTCTTCGTCGCCGCACTTGATGTGGCAGTGCCGGGTCCAACCATGCAGTGGCGGAGCCAAGAATTATGCATAAGGGGGGCCGGTCGAAGAATTTTAAAATATGAGAATTGATTGTAGCTTTAGATTTTTGTCTTGGGATTAGGCTCCAATTTTTATAGATTTATTTTAGTATTTGACGATTTAACCATGCTGCTCGCTATTCTTCACGTTGTAGACAACCGTGTATATCGACATTGGGGCGCATATGATGACTCATGAATTTTGAAATCTACCGGCTTAGTATTTCGGAATTGCTCATAGTGGAGTAGGACGTGTGTTTGATCATAAGAGTGTGTGTACATGAATGTACGTGAGCGTCTACATTTATACTGTGATTCACAGTAAAAAGGAATGGTCACCGAATTGTTATTGCTAAGTTAAATACACATTCAATAAAATATGAAATATAATGAAACATAAGTATTTTAATAAACTAAAAAATTTAATAGATATATCCTAATATAGTAGGCAAACAAATAGATAAATCAAAATATTTTATTCTATCTATATTCTGTGTGATTTTATTGTCTAAAAGATATCAATAAACATTATAACAAGATTTTCTTTATTATACTCTTTTAATATAAACATATAGACCATTTACTATATATATTATATATAATTGTATTGTTAGGGGGGGCATGGCCCCCGCTGCTCCCCTGGCTCCGCCAGTGCGACCGTGCCTCCTTCGTCGGACACCACCAGATCTAGCATGGGGACATATTCCACCAATGGACAGCCCACCTCACCGGAGGACAGTGAGCTCTACCGCAGTGAGAGGAAGGGGATGACATGTGGGCCTGCATGTCATTGAGTGGGGGAGAGGGCAATTAGAGGGGTATTTTAGGCTATACAAAAATAATACGACGATCTGTAAGTGGGTCCAATCTTGTTTCAAGCGTAGAAAATCACTTGAATTGGGTACAGGAACAGTTGTAATGGCAAGTTTTTAAATAGGTGAATAGTAATGGCATGTCATATTTCAGAAGTGCAAAAATTATAATGGCATGGGTCTAAATAACCCTCTTTTTGTTGTTCTCGAATTTAGCCAAATATAAATACTTCCACTTTTAACTAGCTAGTTTCATAGCTATTTTTTATTTATTATTTTCACAAATATGGGAAATTTTCAATCCAACCATTTTTTGTTTTATTTCTATATTGGAATAATACCTTTTTCAACCATTTTCACCTCAAGTGGACCACCTAATAACATGTGAGATAGCCTTTGTGGCTATCTATTACTCACTATGTTTTTGAATAAATAAAATTTTAGAGTTATTCCGGTTAATCTTATTTTTAAATTTGACAAACTTTATAAAGAAAACACTGGCATTTATGACATCAAATAACTATATGATAAAATATAAAGAGTAAAATACACCGAAGTTTGTTTAACTGTTGAGGGGGGTGTCGTATTGGTTCATCAACTCTCTTAAAATATATATATGTTTGGGTCCTCAAACTTTTTAAGTGGTTTAACAGAGTTCCATGCCTCTTTCTTTAGCAATTAGATCTGACATGGCATGTCCATTTAATGGCGAGTGTGGCGGATATATGCAATTAGCCCCTTCTCTTTTCCCTCTCTTCCATCCAGCTCCTTTCTTCTTCCTCCAACCGCCTGCCGCCTTGTGTCATTCGGTCATTATATGTCGGCTGCGCTGAGCACGTACAGTGCGGGCGCTTGCGTGCAGTTTTTTCATTATTGTGTCACGGCGGAGGCTCACAGGGCGCTTGACTTTGCGTCCGCTGCCAAGTTAAGTGGCCGGCGCTTCTACGTGTGATTAAAGCCCCATTTGACACGGATCATCTAAAACGGCTTCATCGGTGAAGCCAGAAAAACTGGCTTTTTCCGGCTTCCAGTTCATTTTAACCCCGGCTTACAAAACGGCTTCACGCCACAGTGGCTCGATTTACGCAAAATAGATGAAGTCGAAGCCGGTATAAGCCGTGCCAAAAGGCCCTAAGTGTGAAAATTAACGGTTACAACCTAGATTAGCACAAAAAATAATTTAGTCCATCATTGTAGGTTTGAACGCTTGTAGGAAAACAAATTAGCTTCTTTTTTTAAGTGCCTGTTCAGGCATCGTTGTACATGGCCTACCCTCGCGGCCCTGGCCGCACCTCGTCGGCGCTGTCTGCTAGCTCAGCCGCACAACCGCCCGCCCACTGCCCCACTCTCGGCGCACATCAGAGCACTTGCATGCCCTGCCCCGTGCCGGCCCACCGGCCATGTTCCAGTTCCACGCCCACCACGCAGAGGGCACGTACGTCAGCGCTGTCCAACGCGCTCGCCGCCGCGTTCAAGCGCGCGTAGGAGAACCAGCGCCGGGGCATGCAACTCGGGCTCCTCCGACCGCCGCGGAGGGCCAGCACGTCGCGTGACCCTCGGTCGCAGTCGCGCGTTCACGTTGAGCCTCCGTCGCTCGGCGTTTGGCGGGATTAAATCGCTTATTTGGCTCAGATAAGATGAGCGAACACTCCCCAAACAGGCCTATAATGGGTCTCTGGCGCACGCTTCGATTTGTGCGGTGAGTATGCATGCAGCACCAAGGGCGTGATTGGTACCTCGCGCACGCCGGACCTGGCTGGACTTGCAGAGCCTGGTCGGCCAGAGCCAGGTCTACTGCATGCACATGCGAGTGTTTGGTTTAGCTCTCCTTTCAGCCAGGCGCAGCAGAGTCTGGTGTTTGGTTCCAGCGAATCGCGGCTCTCCTACTCACCGCACAAGTGGGCACCGTTCGTATGCGTTCTTGCGCCGCGCGAGAAACGAGACCTCGCCGCGTTTCTTCGTTCTCAGCCTGGCTGAGAGAGGAATCTTGCATGCGCTGGGACAGGCCCAAAGTCCAATCCAGGAAACCAAACGCGATAAATTTGCACGAGACGGGCCAGGCCGAGGCACAGCCAGGCTACCAATCATGCCCCAACTCGATCCATGCATGCATGCAGCATCCATGGACTCGACAATTAATGATCACATGGAGATCCCCTCACCTCATTTTTTTTGAGTTATTGGTTAGTTTAGGTAATCGCATGCACTGCAAGCTCTCCTTACTATACTACTAATAGTAAGTTAAGTCACGTGGATCCATGTGTGCACGTATCCACGGAGATCGATCGGGTCAGGCCGGATCAGAGCTAACTAGCTTGGTTGGACCACAATAAATAATGCACGTAAAAAAGCTTATCTATCCACGCGTAATCAATCGATATCAGTGCAAATAATGCATGCACGTGATTTCCTTTTTCTTTTGGACAAATCATATTAAAACTCGACACACAGTAGGCACCAAATTACATTGGAAACAAATTCTGAAATAAAAATATACAATATGCTATCTAGGTCCTTCCAACATTTTCTTCTCTAACTCCTTTCGTTTATGCAGCCAATACTCTAGATAAATATATAGACACTATATATCGAACACAAAAACCGCAGTACAGTTCTCATGCTGAATCCATCGTCCAATCCCAAAACCTTGGACATATATGTCCTAAGATCCAATATTCCGGAACAAGACCAAAATGCATATGATTTCAGTGACCGATCTAGAAAAATAAGTTATCGGGAAGGTTGCTCCTATTATTTTCCATCTCTAGCCTCTCCTTTCAAGCTTCTATGGTTACCAATTTGTAAGGGGGATTATGAGGGGCTTCGTGCTTCGAGTAGCGATAGCGGAGGCTTGACCCCACCCCACCTTGGTGCAAGATCCACCCTTGTCTAAATCGATAAAAGAACATCAGCGGTTGAAATATTATTGGGTACATCAACACTTCCACCCTTTGATCATCAGTTGGACGCTTGATTTCCTCTTTACGAAAAAATTCAGTGGGGACTGCCCCATGGGGCAGTCGTGGGCAACCTTCTGAGACGACATGTGTCCAGACACAATCATCGAATGCGTGAGAGTGTTGTACCTTTTCTTTCCGACGACTCCTCTTGAATTTATGCAATAGTCTCATGCATTGGTTGATTGTGCATGGACACGCGTCATGAATCCATAGCAGGTGCCTATGGATGCCCCATGGGGACCATCCCCACTGAATTTTTACCCTATGTACGATCATCGACGATGAGACTAGAGTTAATATCCCCATGGAAGAGCACACCCTTCCCCTTGTAGATAGTGTCCACAAAGTGACCTCATACCGATGAAATCGACTCTAGA